GTGTCCCCTACAGCTCCATCGAGGTGGTGCTGATGCCTGGCGACGTCTGCGGGCTGCTCCGCATGGCTCGCTGCCCCGGTGGAGGTCCCGGCCAAAAGCCCCGTAAGTCCGCCGCCCCAGCGGACCAGTTACGGTGTTCTTGCCGTCCTCTCCCCGTTCACCTGTCCATGGAGTATTGATGAGTGACTGTATAAACCGATGGCATGCGATGGCCGCAGGGCGTGCATATGCCACAGGCAAGTAGTGACTCTGTCGAAAATTTAAAACAAACTTTTAACGTGGGGTACGAGTGAGTTGGAGTTGATTGTGTCCGCGATGACTGTAATGATTGAATTGAGGCACCAACAAAGCATCTGTGAATCGATGAGTGCGAGTACACACAGTGGGCCAGAAGACTGGTGGGGGCGGCCAAAACTCTGGACGCGTTTTAAGCTCCAGAGTCGCTAAAAAGGACTCGAACCGAACGTGTGACCCCACCAATGGATTCCTCTATCGGAGAGCAATCCATTGGTGGGGTCACACGTTCGGTTCGGGTTCGAGTCCCATTTAGCGACTCTGGAGCTCAAAACGCGTCCAGGGTTTAGTCCGCCTCCACCGGTCTTCTGGCCCACTGTGTGTACTCGTCGATTCGCAGATGCTTTGTTGGTGCCTCGGACAGGCAACGCTCATCTTGTGCGGCGCGCCTCGGCGCGTTGCGGCCGCGGTGCGAGAGGTGTGTAACATAAGCCCCGGCCATGTCCGCCTCGCTGCCCCTCCGCCATGCTTCGGGCGGGAGGGCGTCCGGATCGGCAGTCTATCTGAGGGAGAGAGAGAAGAGAGAGAGAGAGAGAGAGAGAGAGAGAGAGAGAGAGAGAGAGAGAGAGCCACAGTACGGCTCCACGGGCCCGAGACTCGGTACCTCGGGGCTGGGGCCGCACCAGGCCGCACTGACCACAGCTCGCCACGGTCCGCGGGCACCGCGGGGCACTCTGGGAGCCTCACATAGGAAAGGTGACATTCAAACCGAAGCAAAGGACACGAGCAGCGAGGACCGCTTTCGCGCCAGACAATATCCTGAGAATGAGCCTTGCACGGTGGGCCAGAAGACCGGTGGAGGCGGCTGCAACTCCAGACGCGTTTTGAGCTCCAGAGTCGCTAAACGGGACTCGAATGGAACGTGTGACCCGAAATTGATTTTCTTGGTGTACAAAAGTAGTTGTCCTTTTGGAGTGGCTTGACCCCGCTGCGTCGCACGGGATTCGTTTTGTTGTTGTTTTTGTACTCCTTCCCTCCTTGGGCCTCGGGATTAATTCGTACGGCTTCGACACGAGGTCTTACTCATGAGCGACCACCGCCTTGCTTTTTATAGGGGACACCGGAAGGCTCGTTGCGTCATTACTGAACCGTGTTCAGAGAGAGAGAGAGAGAGAGAGAGAGAGAGAGAGATGTAAAAGGGCCGAAAATAATGGGCGGAAGGGAGCGCGGGATGTTTTACTCTCGCGGACGCCGCTATTGCACCCCTGAGAATTTAGCGCGCATCTCGAGCTCCCTTTTTTAGAATTAATTGTATTTTTAGTTTCAGCTTTACGGCCCCTTCAAGTTCCGACCAACGCTTCAACGTGTCGCGCTGTCTTATTATTTTTATTTTTAAATTTTAATGAGGCCTTTGTTTTGTTGTTGTTTTTCGTGATGTCCCGCGGGGCAAGCCTGGGGCTTTGAGTTGAAAATCGCAGATTCGTTTTCTGTGTGCCTAGGTTGGTTGGAATGCTGACAAATGCCGCTGTCTCTTACTAGCACACCGTTTACAGAGTAAAACGGCGGGCGCCCCCTTTTACTGTCAGGGGAAAGTTGTTTTTTTGTTTGCCTTTTTTCAGCCCTTATGAGGCCGTGAGGGTTGCCAGCTGAGTAACCCGGGGACACATGCCGGGGGGAGAGCTCTCTCTCTCTCTCTCTCTCTCTCTCTCTCTCTCTCTCTCTCTCTCTCTCTCTCTCTCTCTCTCTCTCTCTCTCTCTCTCTCTCCGTGTGTGTTTCTCTCTGTCTAAAGCGCTAACTGGATGGGCTTCCCCGCGAAGTTACGCCACTTCTCGACGCCCCATAGACAGCTGACTAATGTTCATTTCTTTCCGCTGAAGCACCACGTCGTGCAATTTATAAACACAGCGTACAAAAAATAACGCGTGGGCTTTGAACGCGCCGAGCTGCCCTTTGCGGTTAAATACGTGCTGCCGCTGCTGCCCTTGTTCGTGCAGAAGGTGCGCGCGTCGCTGCAGCCAGCTGGTATCTTGTCCTTAGTACCTGAACCTGCCGCAGCCCTGTAGGACGAGATGCAGGGTGTTATCTTGATGGTGATAAGCACGCTCAATAAAACACACGAGCGCGCGCGCGCGTGTGTGTGTGTGTGGTGTGTGTGTGTGTGTGTGTGTGTGTGTGTGTGTGTGTGTGTTGTATGGCCGCTACTACCGGTGTGGCGGGGCGTGGCCGGGGCTCAGGTGGACCACACGTACCTTCCCGGCGGGGGGTCCCCCGCGGTGCCGTCCAGACCGCCCCGTACGCGGCCAAGTCCCAACTGTTGCAGGTGGAAATCCGCATCGATTTTCAACACCGAATCGATTTATCGCGGCGCGTTTTCACCGATGTGCATGTAGTACGCAGCGTGCGTATGCTGTTTGTTTGTACCGACTTGTCCTAAACGGGTTTCGTATTTTTTATTTTAATAATTTTTGTTTATTTTTTTCAGTGGCTGGATGTGCATTCCCCGCAGCACGCGCCATGAGAGACGTTAGAGACGTTAGTCAGTGAGGGGTGCTGGGCATTCCCCCTCCACTCTTTCCCTCTCATTCCTTTCCCCTTCGCGTCTTTCCGTCGTTGCAATCGATATCCTCAAATTACTTTTTCCATTCGCAACAACTTGGAGCCTGCCACTCTCCACGTCACTGTAAAGTGAGTTATTAATTACTATTTTGTTTGTAAACAAAGAGTTGATTCGTAAATTAGGGGGTATTTTCTTGAGAGGCTGCTAAAGCATTTGCCCCTGCAACAGTTGCTACCTACTGCAAAATTTGCTACTGCAACATTTGCTACCTATTGCTACTGCTACATCTGCTAGTGCAACATTTTCTACTTCAAAATTTGCCTCTGCAACATTTGTCATTTGCTTTTGCTACTGCAACATTTGCTACTTCAAAATTTGCCTCTGCAGCATTTGCTACTTCAAAAAGTGCCACTGCTACATATTCTACTTCAAAATTTGCCACTGCAACATTTGCTACCTCAAAATTTGCCACTGCTACTTCAAAATAAATTTGCCACTGCAGCATTTTTTTCTCTTGCAAAAACTCCAACATTAATTACTGCAACATCTACCAAAGCATGAAATTTACTTCTCTTAGCTGCGATCGAGAGTCAAAGGTATGTCACTGATGACCCTGCTACATGAGAGACATGCAAGTTTCGGCATTGTTCAGCCAGTATAATAGATTGCCAAGAGTGCAGAGCTTTTCAAGGACGTACCATCCGGCAAGAGAAATTGCATCGGGGAATCGAACCCCGGTCAGCGCACGCGCGCATCATAACAAGCAAGGAGGTTGGTTGGGAGTGCCAGGCTGTGCCAGGCGGGGCTAGGCGGGGGGACCAAGCGATCCTGTGTGACGTGGAGGAATGAGGAACAAGCAGACGACAGGCAGACGACACGACGCAGCGCCCTTTTCACACCTCCTCGTGTTGGCATCAAAACATCTGACAATCGCATCACGTCAAAACACGACTGACGTCGTCAGCTATAAGCACGCGGCTAGGGCTCATGTCCGTTAGGCCCCGCGCGCCCCGCGCTTGCCACAGGACTCGGACAAGTTCGCCCTCCGTCCTGCAAGTACCGAGTTCGTGTTCCGAGTGTACTACAACACTCGACCTCGAGTTGCTTGGGGTGCCCCACTCACTCCGTATCAGTTCAGTATAGGCCGGCCGAATTAAAGAAACGAGAGTGTCAGCATTCAGCTCGTGTGTGTGTGTGTGTGTGTGTGTGTGTGTGTGTGTGTCCTGGCCGATAAAGACGTAATGAATCACAGTTGCCGCCTATCTGAATCACGCCTCGGCCACAACTCACACCCGGCCCCGCGCCGCGCCACGCCGCGCGGCGGGGGGTGTGTTCCGTGTGTTCCAAAAGCGCCATCGCTCAAAACTTTCTTAGAAATTTGTCAACCGCGATGAAGCGGCTCCCCCAGGTCGCGCTGCTCGAGATGGACTCATCTCGTGTTGTTGTTGTTGCTGTTAGGCCCCTTTTCATTTATTTTTCCGCCCCTGTTTTGTGTTGTTGTTTTTTGCCGTCGTTCGGGGACATGCAACACGGGGCCGCGCGCTCCGCTCTCCGCCCACGCTTCCTGCCCCTTCTATAAGCCCCTCTAGAGCCTCCAGCGGCTCGGAGCGCCGCCCGGAGTCTGCAGACTGACTCCGAGAGTCGTCGCTCTGTCTCTCTCGCACTCACGGGGCGGTCTTATGGTGTGAGAGAGACAGAGCGAGACTCTCGGAATGAGTGTGCTGGAGCGCGGCGGCGTAGAACGGCCGGACGACACTGAGCCCGTGAGACACTTAAGCCGTCGTCTTGCTCTCACGGAAGCCTTTCCAAGGCGTGCTGCGTTGACCGCCTTCACCAATTTTCGGTCAATGAAATGGCTGGCCCCTTTTTGCGGTGTGCCTCATTTGGGGGCCGGAAGTCCAGTTGACTGGCAGGGCGGGGCGCTGGCTGGACGCGGACGGACGCCTTGACGGACGCCCTGGGGTGCACCTTGAGGGCCCTGCCCTCGGGACTCCACCAGAGCCCTGGCCGCGGCCCTGGCCCAGGATCAATACCTTCCAGGGTCCTCTGTCGGCTTGGGCCGCGGCGCCTCCAGGGTCCGCCAGGGTTCTCCAGGATACCTAAGAATCTTCCGTAGGGATTTCAAGGATGCCGCCTCCTACACCATCCATTCCGTTTTCCACTAAGAAATGACGAGCATAAAGTCAACATATGTTCATTGTGTTCCAGGGTACTCTGCAGGATGCCTCCTAGGTCTTCCAGGGTTCCCCAGGACGCCTCCAAGGGCTTCAAGGGTTCTCCAGGATGCCAACAAAATGTTCCAGGGTTCTCCAGGACGTCCCCAGCCTTGCCAAGCCTCGCTCCAGGACGCCTCCAGGTCTTTCCAGGACACCCAGCCCTGCACAAAGCGGTAAGCCGCTCGCACGCAAAAGGACGACAAAACAAGAAGGATGTTGCTTCCTTCTAATCCAAGGCCCGTTATCGGGTTCCACCGCCTTGTGGGCCGCGGAGCCGGAGAGCTGCGCAAGCTCCACGCGCCACGCGCCCTCAATCACAGCGCGCTTTCGAGAGGGCGCTGCCTTTGGCCGCCTTTGGCGCTCCGTTCAAACAGTGGCATCTGCCATGCTGCTGCTGTGTTTGTTCGGGGCGGGCTCACTCCGCAGTGGGCCAGAAGGCCGGCGCAGGCGGCCAAAACTCTCCACGTATTTTGAGCTCCAGAGTCGCTAAACAGGACTCGAACCCAACCCCACCAATGGATTCCTCGTTCGGAGAGCAATCCACTGGTGGGGTCACGTTCGTTTCGGGTCCCATTCAGCGACTCTGGAGCTCAAAACGCGTCCGGGATTTTGACCGCCTCCCTGGTCTTGGCACACGGTGCTCCGGGGCCGTCCGAAAATGACTTCACGGATTCACGTATACCACCTCCGACCAACCCCCTATGGTCCACGGCACGGAAGTTAGAGTGGTCGAACCGGGGTCTACCCTCGTCGCCAACAATCGGTTAACGTCATTTGTGCGTGGTCCCGCGCAAGGGCTGGGAGAAAGGGGCGAACACACTCGCAGACAGACAGACAGACAGACAGACAGACAGACAGACGGGCCAGGCTGGGGATGAGATCACTCACACCTGCTTCGTGTCGGCAAACACATCGCAGGCTTCACTTTGGGACGGACCACTCTACGCGACCGCCCCGGCGGCAGCCCGGCATCCGCGGCAGCCCCGCCGTAAAAACCAAGAACGCAGTAACTCTGCAGCAGCCGGGCTGGAGTTGCGGCGTTCTAGCGGAACGGTCTGGGCCGCACGCACCGCGTTTGGGGTGGCGGCGGGGTGGGGCGGGGTGGGGCGGTGTTGCCGCGGTCGCGGCCAGGTGAGGGAGGGAAGCCCTCGCTAGCTCTCTCGCTGAGGTATGACAAATTTCCAGAGCGGAGCGGGCCGGGTGGCGAAGGGGGTGGGGGCGCGGCTTGCGGTGTGGGCACCGCGAGCGGGCTGTAGCGCAGGGGGATGGAGAGAGTTCTCCAGGAGTACTGGAGTGCGAGCCGCGGACATTCACTGAGCTGCACCTGGGCACAGTGCGACACACTGGACGACTGGGAGGCTTCGCCACAGAACAGTGGACCAGAAGACCGGCGCAGGCGGCCGAAACTCTAGACACGCTTTGACCTCCAGAGTCACTAAACAGGACTCGAACCGAACGTGTGACCCCACCTCTGGATTCCTCGTTGGGAGAGCAATCCATTGGTGGGGTCACACGTTCGGTTCGAGTCCCATTTAGGGACTCTGGAATTCAAAACACGTCCTTGATTATGACCGCCTCCTCCACGGTCTTCTGACCCACTATGCAGCGGCCTAAGCGCACCTTCGCCTTCCTCTAAGTAGAAAGTACAGCACATTGCCTGCCCATCAGGCGTAAGGGCGAAACGAAAGGTTCCAGCCCCACCCCGTCCTTCCCCCTTGGCTCCACCACTGCTCTGAAGACTCAGCCGCCCCGCCCGATGGACATCGGATACGTGCAGCAAGCGACAGCAAGGGACTCAGCGACCAAGCTTAGGTAGAAGAGCTGTACAGTTACCGCACCTTTAGGATTCAATTGGTAGCGTCATGGAGCGGAGGCCGCCCTGGCCCCGCGTTGGCTTTGGCTGCTTTGGCTACGCCACTGGCGAGGTCCTGGTGCACTGTAGTGCGCGAGGGTTAGTGAATCCTTCCCCCACCCTGGCCGCCGCGCTCGCCTCGGAGCGGTGTAGGCTCCGCCCACCGCGCCGCCGGCCGCACACCGCGCATTGGTCGGCGCGGCGGGGCGCGGCGGGGCGGCGGGCGGGGCGGGCGGGGCGGGGCGGGGCGGGGCGGGCCGCGGCAGCGCCGGCCAGCATCACGCGGGCCTCCAGTCTTGGTCCGCCGCAGCGCCAGCGCAGCCCGCCCGCGGTCCGTCGCCAAAGCCTTGGCGCTGCCTGTCCAGGGCGCCGTCAACGCACCCCGTGCCGCCCCAGTGTAGTACAGTGTAGTGCCGCCGGTGCAGTGAAAGTGACAGTGTAGCGACGCCCACCATGTCCTTGGCCAGGACGCGGTGCTCCCCAGGAAGGCCGTAGGCATCGCCTTGGCGCGTCGCAGCCTTGCAGCCCCAGGCCAGCGCAGCTAGCGCAGGCCGGCCTCACCACAGCCGCAGGGACCAGCTCGCCCGCGCCCGACCCGTTCGTCATGATCTTTACGCCCTCCTACTATGCCAACTACTCGCCCCCGTATCCTGGATCTTTTCACCAGGTAAGCAGCTGCAGCATCCCTCAGGAAGATCGTTTTGTCAAAGCTCGCGAGGCCGTCGCTGGATCTCTGTATACACAACAACCCGTTGGAATACAGCCGGTTTATCATCGCGTCAATTCGCTTGTATTTCGCGTGGTTTTCCTCTTATTTCTCGGCCGGGTTGTCATTCTTTTCAATGAGATTCGCGACACCGGAGCGATAAGACAGCGATGCAGAAACTCAGCCCACTTCCACTCCTCGGCACCGCTCGCAGAATTTCAGTTATGGCAGAGACATAAACGCGCGAAGGGTGAGCACTGGATGTTGTTGTTGATTTTTCTGTTGTTAACTGTGACGGCGGAGTGGTTCAGTTGGGACGTTGGCGGGTTGGAATTTACAGCCAGCATCAAAAGCGCTGATCTCATCTCGGGCCTCGCCCGCCCCGACACTTTCCGTCGTTATTTCCGTTCTGTTTATTCGTTGTTTCGAAGCAAACTGTCGTGAAAAAAAACGCGACATTCTACACGCGTTTTGAGCTCCAGAGTCGGTAAATAGGGCCCGAACCTAACGTGTGACCCCATCAATGGATTCCTCGTTTGGAGAGCAATCCATTGGTGGTGTCACACGGTCACTCTGGAGCTCAAAACGTGTCCCGAATTTTGACCGCCGCCACCGGTGTTCTGGCCCACTGTGCATCCTCCCAACGCTTTCAGTCGTTATTGCCGTTCTTTTTATTCGCTGTTTCGAAACTAACTGTCGAAAGAAAACGCGAAAAATGGCACATTTCACCGACGGTGTGAGTTGACGAGATGGAAGGTTGTTGTCCTCGGGGCTGTTGCGCGCGTGTTGCTTGCTTTAAAATTTCAAACTTCAAAACTTGCAAAACCCAACGGCAGCGCAGCAGCCCTTTGTTAACGGGCAACAATATTAATATCACTAGCCCGAACTCCGTGCGCGGAGTATTCATTTACGAAACCCATAAAATTCACACCTCTGGATATAGAATGACAATTTACAGTCGCTATTGGTTGGGCCCCGTCCTGAACTTGCCGTGCCAGCCTGAAAGGGAAGAGGGAGAGAGAGGGGGAAAGAGAGAGGGGAGAGGGTCTTGGTCGCATCCCGCGATATCACCAAGAGTTATTGCATCTTGCCTTCGTCGCAGTCATATATTTTCCCCTTGGGGGTCCCTGGCTCTCCAAGCTTCTCCGAGCGGCCCTCGGCTCTCCCTCCTGGCCATACATACCTCTGGGCAGCACCATGGCACCATGGCCGCACGCCGCGGCACCACACGACTTATGGACGCCTTATGCGCTCCTCTAAGTCTTCTCAGTGGCACCACGGTGCCATGGCACCATGGCTGCATGCCACCCGTGCCACATGACCCTTGTTCATGTCACCAGGCGCCGATCGCCGCCCATGGGGACATGGGCTTTCAAATGTGGTATTCTTTTCCTCAGATAGAGAATACTCTCAGCTATAGAATACTCTCAGCTGTAGAATACTCTCTGCTAGAGATTACTCTCCGGCCTGAGAAAAATCTCATCTAGAGAACTCTATTGTTATAAAACACGCTTGAATGTCTAGATCAATGTTCAACGCTCTTATTTATTTATTCATTTTATTTATTTTATTTTTTGGGGTTAGGGGGGAAGGGGATCGTTTCCCGTTTTCTCTGTGGCACAATGGCCGAGCAAAGGAGCTGCTGCCTAACCTAACCAGCGCACTCCCAAAGGAAGCGCAGTCAAGTTGTTTAACTGTTCTTTAGATGCCCCGATGATAAGCCGCCGAGGCGAAAGCACATCCGGAAGGTCGCGCGGCCGAGTGGGGCACAGTGGGCCAGAAGACCGGTGGAGGCGGACAAAACTCTAGACGCGTTTTGAGCTCCAGAGTCGCTAAAGAGGACCTCGAACCGAACGAGTGATCCCACCAATGGACTGCTCGTTCGCAGGGCAATCCCTCATTAAATCTGAACAATGATACTACACACACATTTAGTGTGTACTTTTGGAGGAGTCCCCATCGTGGCAAGTGGGTTCTTTTCACCATTTTAAGCGCGCGGTTTTTGGACAGTTTCCCCGATTGCCAACAACCCAAGTCGGCACTTTTTACTAAAGACGTCAGCTGCTGCGGGTGTAGCGCGCGTACGTTCCGCGCGTGATGTTCGCCGTGTTGACAGTGCAGCCACACTGTAGGTGTGCTGGCGCGGCGGTCTTGCAGCAGCTGCAGCAGGAGATGTCGCTGTTTTCGTTACTTTTGCAGTGTGCTGGAAAGGGTGTGTGACACAGGCTGCAACCCACGTCCCATCTGAACTTTGGACTGTTCAGCCAGCGCGTTATGTGTCGTTGGTAGATGTGGGTTGCGTCAGAATAGGCCTATTTTATGTGCCTCCGGAAAGAGGAGAACTTGGCAGTATGAATGGAACCAGCCTACGCTTTCAGGTTCAAAACTGGTTCAAAATGATTTCGTGAATAAAACAATTTGGTGTCTATGCCAATTTATGACATTGGTTCTAAAGAGGTTCACATCATGTTTTGGTGCTTCTTCCGATAAGACATTTTTCTGGGTGTGAGTTCAGGTGTCTTCAGGCAAGCGTTCTAAGACTTGGTCGTACAAATGTGCCCTTGATTGGAACATTGTCTTACGTCCGGTAATGTCTTCAATTCGAATGTGTGGCT